GGGCGTTCAGTGCACTGAGGTATACGGGGGGCTGAGGGAAGGGGACTGGGGGGCACTTGGGGGTTCTGGGGGGCGCAAGAATGTGCTGGGAGCCACTGGTGGGGGATTGGAAGGAGGCTGGGGGGCACTGGGATACGTTGGGAGGCACTGGAATGTACTTGGTAGCACTGGGGGGGACTGGGCTGCTATCCCCCCACCCTCCCCAATGTCCCCTGGTGTTTCCTGAGGTCCCCGGGGTCCCCCCACTCAATGTCCTCAGGGTCCCTGGGGCAGCCCTGCGGTCCTGTGGTGTCCCTGTGCTCCCCGCCACCCCCCAGTGTCCCTCACCACCCCGGGGCTTCCTCGATGTCCCCTGATGTCCCCAACATCCCCTCGCTCCCAGATGAAGAACGCCGACTACTTTTCTAACTACGTGACGGAGGATTTCACCACTTACATCAACCGTAAGCGCAAGAGCACGTGCCACGGGAACCACATCGAGATGCAGGCTATGGCTGAGATGTACAACCGCCCCGTTGAGGTCTACCAGTACGGCACTGGTGCGTCCGCCCTGCGGGGCCCTGGGGACAGTGGCGAGGGGGAGGTCCCTGAGGCGACACGGGGGTCCCCAAAGCACCGTAGGGGTTCCTAGGGTGCTGATGTCGGTGCTGGGGCGGGGGGGGTCCCTGTGGTTTTCTGGGGTTCCTCAGGGTGCTGGGGGGGTCTCTGTGGTGCCATGGAGGTCCCAACGGTGCTCTGGGGTCCCCAGGGTGACAACATGGACTTTCCCAAGGTGCTGAGGGGGCTTCCTGTGGTGTCTCTGGGGTCTCCAAGGTGCCATGGGGGGGGAGTCTCTGGGGTCCCTGTGGGCCCCCCAGGGTGCTGATGTCAGGGCTCCTGGGTGGCTGTGGGGTCCCCAGGGTGCTGCTGGAAGGTCCCCGGGTGGCTGGGGGGCGTACCTGAAGGTCCCTGGGTGCTGTCGGGGGGGTCCCCACATGCCTGTGGGGTGGGGGGGGTGCCGCTGTGCTGACGGGGTGCCCGCAGAGCCCATCAACACCTTCCACGGGATCCAGCACAACGAGGACGAGCCCATTCGGGTCAGCTACCACCGCAACATCCACTACAACTCCGTCGTCAACCCCAACAAGGCCACCATCGGCGTGGGGCTGGGGCTGCCCTCCTTCAAGCCAGGGGTCAGTGGGGCTGGGGGGCCTGGGACCCCCATTGCTGCGGGATGGGGGTGCCCTCCTTCAGTCCAGGGGGGCTGGGGGTGGCGGGGGGGCTTGGGACCCCCACTGCCATGGGGTGGGGGGGCCCCCCTTCAGTCCAGGGGTCCT